TTATTGAATTTTTGTGTATTTCATACATAATTTCTCAAACAATCTTAATAATCTTTATGCCCCCATCCCCACCAGACCCCCCAGTGCAAATCTGTCCACTGATGTCCAGTCAGCCTGTCTAGAATCTCTTGTTCCAGGAAGACCAGCTCTTCCTCACCTAGCAGTAATCAGTTGCCAATATTTCTTCAGCTAAGATTGGGATCTCCTGTTCATTTTCCCAGTTCTATGCTGGGTTATTGTCTGCTGACACTATTGCCATAGACTCATATGAGCAGGGTCTCTGGAGCTTGGAGGACTCTGCTTCCATATGGTCATGTACCTCCTCCCTGGCTCTTACAATCTTTCCATCCCTCTTCCATGATGGTCCCTAAGCCCTGATTGGGTAAGATTAACATAGGACTCCTGTCCAAGGACTAGCATTCTGCAGACTCTTAATCTCTACACTTTGGCCATTTGTGACCTTTGGTGTTCCTGGCCCTCTGTTGCATAAGCAATCGTCATTAATGAGAATTGAAAGATTTGTTAGTGTCCTCTTCGTTACCCCTGTTCTGTGTTCCATGTGCCTTAGATGTAGAGGTTGCATTGTAGATATGTCTGTTAGGCCTGGACAAACATAGACAATGACTGTGTGTGACTAGTTTTGGTACTTGGTAATAGTCTCCAGTGGTGCAAAATAAGCTTCTCTGATCAGTGGTAATAGGATATTTGTCTGTAAATATAAATATACATATTTTTAACATAGTAAGAAATCATGTTAGTTTAGGGATATGAAAGTCTTGGGGGTTTTCTCTAAGATTTATGGCCACTCAAGCCATGTGTATTTGGTTATGCTTACAGTACCATGCGTGAGTTTCCTCCCACTGAGTGGGCTTTTAATCCAATTAGGTGGCTGTTGATTGCACCCAAGATAAAAACCAGGCGTGGTGGCACAAGCCTTTAATCCCAGCACTTGGGAGGCAGAGGCAGGCAGCTCTCTGTGAGTTCAAGGCCAGCCTGGTCTACATAGTGAGTTCCAGGACAGCTGGGGCTACAGGGAGACCCTGTCTCAAAAACACCAAAAAAAAAAAAAAACCACTACTTCACCAATATCATATGCTGTGCCAGCCATTGATATGGTTATTTGGTCTTGAAGCTGGTGTTAGACCATTGATTGATGTTTTCCCTTGGCACCATATTGCTCTCCAAAGGTATGAGAGCTAGGTTTTAAGGAAAGTGGTTTCAGTTCCATTGCTCTAAAACCTGTGCCCGAAGTATATTCTGTCTTCAGAAGTAGGGTCTTACCTTCAAGCTCTGGGAGGCTATCCAGGGTTGTGACAATAGCCTGTGTGATTTTAGGAGTTTCTTGGACCACCTGGCCAACAATTCAAAGGAAGGTTTCTCCCGTCTGGCACTGTTTCTTGTTATAAAGCCTTCAGCTACATACATGGACTCATGTAGAGATAGTCTACGTCTAATTTGTCATTAGGCTGTTGGACTAATATGATTCCCTCTGGTTTTTTTAAACTAGCTAGGCATTATTTATCTCTCCTCTCTCTCTCCCTGTCTAACCCTTCCACCATGGTTTCCCCATTTAAAGTGTCCCCATTTTCCCCATTTCTCATGGTTCCACCTCTCTTGAGCTCCTTCTTTCCCTTTATTCCCAAAGCTCCTTGTATAACCTTCCTTTTCTCCTCCCATTTAAATAGCCCCATTTTTATCCATTTCTCCCTTAGTAACACCTGTCTCCTACTGTTCTCTCTCAGGTTCTTTCTGTCCCTTTACCTACTTGATTCCTTTTCATTATTATGGCTCCTGTAGTTACATCCGGATACATACTCAAATATAAGGATGTGGTGCTAGGATCCACATATGAGGGAGAACATACATCGCTTGTTTTTCTGAGTCTGTGTTACTTCACTGAGTATAACACTTTCTAGTTCCATCCATTTACCTGCAAATTTCATAATTTTGTCTTTCTTTGCCCTGGAGTAGAACTTCATTGTGTAAATATACCACATTTTCATTATCCACATGTCAGCTGAGGGACACTTAGGTTGCTTCCATCTCTTAGCTATTGTGAAAAGAGCAGCAACAAACATGGATGTATAAGTGTCTCTGCAATAGGATGAGTTCTTTGGGTATATGCCAAGGAATGGTATAACCAGGTCAAATGGTAGGTTCATTTTTAGTTTGTAAAGAGTTCTTATTTGTAACTTGTTAAGAAGCAGCGGAGCAGTTTTACCCCAAGCTGGCCATCCATTATGCATGCCATCAGCAATGTGTGGATTGAGGTTTCAGTTTCCCCCCATCCAATGTGCTTGCTGTTCTTCATCTTAGTTTTTTTAATTCTTATTACATTTATTAATTTGGTGTGTTTATGTGGGGGGGTGCATGTGTGCATGTATGCACCCACCAGCACACCATGGTCTGCCTGTGGAGGCCAGAAGGCAGGTTGAAGGAGTAAGTTCTCTTCTACCATGTGGGCCTGAGGGGTCAACTATGGTGTCAGAATTGGTGGAAGCCACTGAGCCCTCTCACCAGCACATTTTATCTCTCTCTCTCTTTTATTTATTTATTTATTTATTTATTTATATATTTATTTATTTTTGTGTTTGAGACAGGTTCTCCCCATAGGCCCAGCTGTCCTGGAAATCCCTATGTAGACCAAGCTGCCTCAACTGAACAGAGATCCGCATGCCTCTTCCTGCCAAGGACTGGAGTTAAAGGAGCGACCACCATGCTCAGCTACTTCATCTTATTTTAATCATCCTCATTTCAGTGAAAGTGAAATGGAAAAAACCTAAATTTCAATGGGTGTGACATCATGAATAATTACACAAAATACTCTAATAAAATTTCAGTACAGTGATCTACCCAACCTCGGCCTGGGGTTAAGAAATGGGGATCAGTGATTTTCAGAGCTTCTCCAAGCAAAAGTTTCATAATTTTTTGTCAGAAACATCGGAGCAATTATCACTGCACTGAATAAATTATTGGATATGAAGAATTTAAAGTCATATGCTATGTGCTCCTCTCGGTCATAAAAAATTAGTAGCTATATTAAACAAGAAATCAGTGATAATATCTACGTTTTAAATTTAAGGAGTGGGGTAACAACAAGATCACTTATCACCATCCTTGTCTTTCAGTTGATAAGTGGCTGACCTGGGACTTCAACTTAAGTTCAAAAATATCCCTAAAACATGGTTCTTTCTTATGTCTAATGCTCTAATTCAGAACTGCTAAGGAGACACTAGAGAGGAGGTAAGACTCTTCTTCCCTGTGCTCCTCTTAAGGAGACATGACACCAACACACAGATTAATAAAATAATCAAGGAAAAACATTAAGTGTTTATTAGCATTTCTCATAGTTGTCTTTAGATTTCAGGAATTAATAAATCAGTATGACGGAAAATATTTATAAAGAAGCCTGAGAAGAATTAAAGTTTAATGTTAACTCTACAAAATAAATTAAGGAAGGTAATATTGAAAGGGCCCCATTCAAGATTGAAAATGGAATAGTGTGATTACATCAGAGAGAGTTTATAGCATAGGAAATGAGCCAAGGAGCACATGTGGATAAGAGGAGCTTCTTAGGGGGTGGCAGAGGATAGCTTTCTTGTGAATGGAAACAGCACAGAGATATTTTTGAATATCACAAAAAAATGTATTTTATATCAAACACTGAAGAAGAGAGTAATGGAGTATTGCTTTCATCAGAAGACTGAGATATATAACACAGTATTTGAAATCATAGTGCGTAGGTGAATGTACATGAACTTCTATTCAAAGTTAGGCAAAATTTATGAATTGAAGACACAACAGGAAAAAGTGGGAGGGATAAAAAATTTTCACATAGTTGTGCATGGTGGAACATGTCTTTAATCCCAGCGCTTGGAAAGCAGAGATGGATCTCTGTGAGATCAAGGCCAGTCCACACAGTGACTTCCAGGTCAGCTGGGGTTGTAGGGAGACCCTGTTTCAGAAAGACCCCCAAAATTTTTTTCACATAATATAAGAAATAATTGTCGGGCGTGGTGGCACACAACTTCAATTCCAGCACTTGGGAGGCAGAGGAAAGTAGATCTCTGTGAGTTCAAGACCAGTCTGGTCTACAAAGTGAGTTCCAGGCCAGCTGGGACTACAGGGAGACCCTGTCTCAAAAAAAAAAAAAAAAAAAAAAAAAAGAACATAGGATGGGAAGTATCAAGGAGAACGCTTTAATTTCAGCCATGGCCAAGAAAAAAGGAGCAGCAAGAAAGATGTAAGAAAATAGTTCCCAAAAGTTTAAGACAAAGTGTTACAGGAAGAACAAGAAATGTACTCAACAAATTGTTCTGGTAATTATTCCGTCTGCTCTCAGGGGCTTCACCATCATGCACTTGAGGGTTGTGGGTGGCTGAGTTCCAAACAACTCCCTCTGAGTGACGAATGGGTGAGGATGCCTTCTTCCTGGCTGATGTAATAGTTCTCTGATTGCAGGCAAGAGCAAAAATATATTCAACTCCCAGAAGGCAAATAGCAATGGGAACCTGATTGGGTGCATCTAAAACACAGCAGGAGAAATTAGAAGGCAGAGGCATCACCATTCTAGAGTAAATGCCAAAATATGCTAGGTCTGTGAAGACAGGACTTATCTTGTGTTTACATAATTCAGGGAATGTGTTTCTATAAATAATCCTTACAGTCCACTATGTACTATAAAAAGCAGCAGATTGTGCCTTGAAAACTTTATTCTGTGAGAACAGGCAGCATGGAACCACAAGTATGGAAGAAAGATTGAATTGAACCTGTTAATCTTGCTTTTATTCATGAGACAAGGTCAACATGGGATGGCCCAATCCCAATGACATTTCAAGACAGGGGGCAGTTATTTACTACGTGAAAATCGTTTAGTATGAGACAAGGTCAACATGGGATGGCCCAATCAGCAATGACATTTCAAGACAGGGGGCAGTTATTTACTACGTGAAAATCGTTTAGTTACAAAAGGAAAGTGGAGTCACTGTGTGTAAGAAAAGATGACTGTGAAGACCCAGTACCTCAACCAGACTATGGTGAGCCACTTCTTCCTGGAGGGTCTGATGTACACTGCTGAACACCCAAGCCTCTTCCTCCTGCTCTTTCTCCTCATCTACAGCATCACGGTGTTCGGAAATCTCCTTATTCTGTTTACTGTGAGCTCTGACTCTCATCTCCGCTCTCCCATGTACCACTTCCTGGGCCACCTCTCCTTCCTGGATGCATGTCTCTCTACAGTGACGGTGCCCAAGGTCATGGCAGGCCTGCGGACTTTGGATGGGAAGCTCATCTCCTTCCAGGGCTGCGCCGTACAGCTTTACTGCTTCCACTTCCTGGCCAGCACAGAGTGCTTCCTGTACACGGTCATGGCCTATGATCGCTACCTGGCTATCTGCCAACCTCTGCACTACCCAGTGGCCATGAGCAAGCGGGTGTGCTCAGGGCTGGCTGCCAGCACTTGGGCAGTGGGTGCCGTACACTCTGCAATCCATACCTCCCTCACCTTCCACCTTCTCTACTGTGGGCCTCAGCACATCGCCTACTTCTTCTGTGACATCCCCCCTGTGCTGAAGCTCGCCTGTGCAGACACCACCATCAATGAGCTTGTCATGCTCGTCAGCATCGGTGTGGTGGCTGCAGGATGCCTGATCCTCATTGTCACTTCCTATGTCTTCATTGTGGCCGCAGTGCTGCGCATACGCACAGCTGAGGGCAGGAGACGAGCTTTCTCCACTTGCAGTGCCCACCTCACAGTGGTGCTCCTGTACTACATGCCCCCGGTCTGCATCTACCTGCAGCCAAGCTCCAGTGGAGCAGGGGCCGGGGCCCCTGCTGTCTTCTACACCATAGTCACCCCCATGCTCAACCCTTTCATTTACACGCTGAGGAACAAAGAGGTGAAGCAGGCTCTGAGAAGGCTGGTATGCAGAGATTCCCAAGAGTCTCCAGCAGGCAGCCCACTCCCTTAACTCCAGCTGGCCACGCTCTACCTTGCTTGCCAGGAAGCAAGCTACACAAGTTCTGTTTTAAGTAGGAAAATGTGTTCAAGTAAAAATCAAAGCTACCAAGTGTCAACTGAGCCATGTGTCCCTCTCTTTGGCCAAGAGGTCTGCCCCTTTGTCTTTGCCTCAAACTTTTAATCAATAAAATGAAAAGATTAAAGCAAGTACCTTTTATGGTATCCCCAACACTTAAGCTCAGAGGTATGTAAATATGTTGTTCAAATTCTTGTTTATTTTAGTATTGTTATAATTGTATTGAATATATATCTATTAAGATTCTGAAAACAGAAATATAAGATACAAATAATATGTGCAACTATATATTTATCCCCTGGCTTAACAGAAGAGATCAAAGTTTATTATATTAAAAATACAACTGCAAGGAGAAAAGTGGCTTGTCCAACATGACACAGAACATCATTATCTTATTTTTTTCCCATTTTAGGTAGTAGATAACTAAGACCACACTCATGGTAGAGATAACTAACATGGGTTTGGGCATCATTTAGACCTATGTATATTCTAATCCATGATTTCACTAGTCACTAGACAAAGAGTTGTACAAATTTTATTTCTGAAATTTTAAAGTAAAATTAAAAATAACTACCTTGTAGGAATTTATGAGAATCCAAGTAAGATAACTGGCAAAGTTGTTATATCTTTACTGCATGGTAATGACAAAAACAGACTCTTCTAGATACTAAGGTGACAACATGTCAAGGTTCTACTTACAACAACTTTCCATATACTGGGAAACATTATGATGTGTTCCACTGTGAGTGAACAGCCCTAATCTATGGAATAAAATAAGTATATGTTGCCTGCTAAGCAAAATAAGTTATGCACGCAATACCTTATCACTTATTTACACTCTAATTCTTTAAGAGTACCTTCATCCCAAAAAATCATTTATAAACAATGTCATAGGAAAAACATTAGAAAACAGATGAAGATGAATTATAAAATAACCAGTTAATAAATTATGACACAATGGACATAAAAGGAAGAAAACAAACATCCTTAAATGGATTTTGGCGTTGGAAATACAGCGATTTTTAAAAATAGAATTATTTCTAAAGGAGATTAATTGAATACATATTAGAATGGGAATACAACTGTTGTGGCTAATGTCGGTTGTCAACTTGACTAGATCTGGAATCAACCAAAAGGCAAGCAAATGGGCACTCCTGTGAGGGATTTTCTTGATCAGATTATCTGAAGTGGGAAGACTCAATGAAGGTGGGTGACATGTCCCAGTAGCAACCCAGGTAAAAAGATGTGGAAGGAGGAAAGGTGTTACTTTGCCTGCTTGCCTTCAGACTTGCTGCAAATTCATCTAATCTGTTGCTGGACCTCTGCATTCCTGTACTGATATTCTAACCAGCTTCTTTGGGTTTCCGACACAGACTGAAGACCAGCAGCTCTCCAAGAATCCTTCAGGCCTACACTACCAGATCAAAACTGCTGAGAAATCCAGTCTCATGGACTGAAAAACTACCAGATTCTCTGTCTGCCCCCCCACCCCAGTGTGAGTCAATCATTGTCAGACTACCCAGACCAAAGCATGTCATGAAAGTCAATTTAACAAATCCCTTTTTAATATATATTTATTCAATGGGTTTTGTTCTGACTAGTATAGTAACTACAGTTTTATTTAATATACATTTCCCCAAGGCAATAGATGGTTGTTGATCCATAGTAATGTTCATAAGGGGTATATTTCCAGGAACATCTTTACTTTTATGTACTATTACTGATGGGGGGACCATGACCAACACAGCAAAAGTAACATTCTCAAGACCATTAACATCAAAACAGTTGCAGCAACAATTTCTTGTTATATATAACAAGATTATATATAAAAAAAAACCCTTTATTTTTTTTAGGAAACTTAGAGGGCTCAAAACAATTTTGAATTTAGAAATCAAGATTCCCTGGTGTTTGAATTGTGCTTAGTCCTCTGTGAATGTAGTATCTGAACCCAACACTCCTGAAAAGGGAAAGTATACAGGAAACACAAAATCAGAGACAGAAATGCAGTTACAAAGCAGCATCTACACAGAATTCACAACTCTTCTCCCTTGTTCTAGCATCTCACAGTTACTAATACATCTGCAGCAAGGATGAATGTAACTGAGGCAAACTCATCATTCCCATCAGTGCAGGCTTTCCACAGAGTGGGAAACAGGTCTGACACAAGCTGAGGTGCTCTCTCATCCCATTTCACAGCCAAATGATAGCTCCCTCCTAGAAATAAAAGATAAATTATTGAAGACTATGGAAGCACAATTCCAGTCTTAATTTTTTTCCGTTCACCCTTGGCCTTCACACTTCCATATCTGTCTATCCAGTAATAATCCTTCAGTCTCTTGAATCCTGTCCTTCCTCCAACAGTGTGCCCATGGCATCAGCTTATTGTAAGCCTTTATAATTATGTAGACAGATATCATTCCTTAAGTTATTAAACATGTCATGGTCAGATTGAGTTTGCAAGAATGGGAAGAGCCCTTATATTTGCTAAATGTTCCAAACTAATGTACTGAGCTAAATATTAACTCAGTAAAATACAGATTCGGTCATGTATTCAGGGTTTAGAAATGAAACAAGGCACAAAATCCATTCTTCACAGTGAAGTTACCAATTAGGAATGTTTGTTTGGTAGTTATTTGGAGAAAAGGAAATTATCAATCCTGATTTTTCCCTTTCAAATGTTTGTATTTTGTGTTTGATCATGAGATTTAGGGATGTGATATAATAAATTAAGATATTGTCAATTTAGTTAAAATTTGAAGGTAAACTAGAACTTGAGAATTAATTTGTATTAATCAAAATGAAGAGGGCAACAGGACTAAACGAAGGTCATCATTCTTAGAAGATAATCATTCTTAGAACCATCATTTCCCCAGCCTCCCTGAAATGTAGACAGTACATGAACTAATATTTCTGTTTTTATTTTTTATATATATGTATATATGTATGTATATGTGTTTTACCTGAATGTATGTAAGTGCACCCGTGTTGTACTATGTTCATGGATATCAGAACTGGGCATCAGATCCCTTGGAACTGGAGTTATGGAAGGTTGTTAGTCACCATGTAGATGCTAGGAACGGAACCCAGATCCTCTGCCAGAGGAGCCAGTGCTCTTGACTTCTGAGCTGTCTCTCCAAGCCATGAAATGATATTTCTGTATGATAAATATCTGTGAAATAGGAACTAAAAGTGTCATTTCTTTGGATAATTTGCAGGGAGAATTTGCTATGAATGATGAAACATTCTTAGTACTTTCTATCATAATTTTGATAAAATTGTAAAAGTAAGACCAGTATTAGTTTTATATTGTTATTAAATAGCTCATGTGCAGAATTTTAGCAATACACTTTAAGGTGGCTTATGTGAAGGGAATTATGATGCAGGTAATCAAGTGGACTAAGCCTCCTCATAAAATTAAGGAGTTCATGGTAGCAACTGCATTCTAATTATGAATATGAAAATGACTTGAATTTCAAGAGATTATTTAAATAATGTGAAGATCTATAAATAACACTTATGATTCTTCTATTAACTGGTAGGACTATAACTTAATGAAATGCCATTTCTTTACAAATATTCTGTTATATAGAATTGGTGAAAGTTTACACGCAGCCTGTATTTACATCATTACTAACTCAAGTACTCACTGCTACACTTCTGCAATACAAATTAGGGCAAAATTCAAAAAGACTACAAGCTGAGCCTAGTGGCACACGCCTTTACCCACACTCAAGAGGCAAAGACAGGCAGAACTCTGTGAGATCAAGGCCAGCCTGGTCGACATAGTGAGTTCCAAGACTAGTTGGGGCTACAGAAAGACCCTGTCTCAAAATAAACAGACATACAAAAACACTACAAAAGAGCACAGATGTAAAGAATTTATGAGGCATCATTTCACAGGAAGATTATAGAAATATATGATACTGGAATCAAATGTAAAATAATTTTTTATTCTTCAATGAAGAGACATTGTCTTTGAGACAGAGATGTTCAATCTTTGTGTTTTGGTTTGAAGGGGAAGTTATGTGTTCATTGATTGCTTATTTGTTATTTTGAGTCAGGGTCTCCTGTAACCAAGGCTGGTCTTGAACTCCCAATCCTACTGCCTCTACCTCCTGAGTGCTAGGGTTGCATTAAATGCCTAATCTTTGAATAAGACACCTCAAGCTTAAATTATTTACCATTATACACACATACATACTCCAAAATTTATAAAAGTCTAAAATATTAAAAGAGAGTATATTTTCTAACAGCAGCTACAACATCTCTGCATCATAGTAACTTGGATATCTGCCTTGATCATGATATTAAAAATCTAAGATTTCATAATTAATAATAATGTAAGCTATAGGATTTTTATAGGTATGTTTTATCAGTTTCTTTTATCTCCTGATTTGTTGATATTTTTATCAAATGAGTGGATTTGTTGATATTTTTATCAAATGAGTGGATATTGCCTAATGTATGTTATTTACCTAATGAAATGATATGGCTTTTCTTTTTAAAGATATTAATGTCATGAGTTACAATGTTTGGTTCTTAATGCTAAACAATTTACCTTACTAGATTAAATCTCAGGCAGCCAATATATTTTGCCTTAGTATTTATTGTTGAATTTGATATGCTTAAATGTATTTACTAAAATTTGTCATATGTGTATAGTGGTATATAGATTTCCTTTATTGCAATGTTTTTATCTCCTTTTGATATTAAATAGAACTGACCTCGTAAGCTGAGGTTGTACGTATTCTAAGCTCTTCCACTTGATGTAATTAGCATTCTTCCCTTAACTGCCTGATGCAAAACACTAATGTGGTGATTTTTGTGGATGGTACTTATACATCTCCTAAAAGTAGGCCTGCAATATATTATGTTTTGTCTTATAATTCATTTTATAAATGATTAAATTGTACATACATGACTTCATCTACCCT